GCATCCCTTCCCTCCAGCCTATCAACCGAGCATGCTTAATTCAATCACAAAAGTAGTTACTTGAGTAGTTACTTGCTTAGAAACATATGCCTGTTCAAATCTGTTGTTCTTCGAAGCTTGCATATATAATACTTCCCTTAGTTATCTTTAAACTGCCAAAAAGAACAACAGCTCTTAACAGTCATCAGGATTAAGATATTCATAGCACTCAGGCATCTGCTCAGACTTCAGCCTCCAGAACTTAGCTTGTACTACAGTAACACCAACAATTATGGCCTCCTTGTTCTGTGACAAGAAACCCTTTGAAAATCTTGTCAGCAAGAACTCTTTTTGTCTCAATAAAACCACAGTGTACAGGTCCCTGCTCTTAACCCTGGGTTGCTTTAAGAAAGAATCTAGTCATGTCCAATTGCAGTATTATTGACAAGGGAAACGTTTTTGTTCCTTTCATCATTGCCATTGTATCTCTTTAGACTTCTAGAATTTGTCTCATAGAGAATTCAAGATCCTGTCTATGTAAATTTAGAGTTCTGGACACCCAAAATTGAAATAGAGAGAAGGCTTAAAATATCTTCCAAAGCATGGTCTGGGCTCATCTGGGCTTCAGTTACAAAATAGAAACATACTTTCTAAGGAGAAAATGTTAAGCTCTGCAGCACTTGCTAAGAGCATGCTGGGGCACTGCATTACTATCAATGGACAGAGAAAAGAGACACAGCCTACAGAGTAATATGAGTCCTCCTTTTCTAGTGGTTGGATTTTCTGTCCCGGCACAGTATTAGCTGGGCCTGATTTTCCTTTCTTTGTGCTATCCTTAGCAACCATTGTCTTGGAGTGATTCATACAAGAATAGACTAAATGACTGAATGGACTGTAGAGTTCACTTTTCTCACCATCAGAGGAGGAAAATGCAGACATATTCACTGCCACAAGCACCCATTTCCTGCACTCTTCAGTTACACTCCAAGTGAGAAGTAGCTGGTACAGCTTGATACATACTCAGTAGCATCAATAGGACCTGAACATTTCCACATGCATTTTATCCCAGAGTTCTTTGGCTGCAAATGTTCTTTTCATTTCCTTCTCATTTCTCCCTTCTTACTCGATCTCTCTTTTTACTCTGTACTTACGTTAACTCTTCCTTTTATTGTGTGTGTGTCCCCCTTTTTTTTTCTCCCCGCTAAAACCTAAAAACTCTTGCTCTTGGCTTCTTTCAGGCAAATTAAGTTTGTGCCTTACAGTCTCTGCCTCTTCAGGGTCTTCCTGCACATCCTAAAGTACCCCCAGCTCTTACTTTATTAGATCGCTCCACAGAACGAGTCGCAGACCTTAGGAGACAGCAATAGTTTGTCAGTCCTCTTCTTTCCCCTCCTGTTCTGCAAGCCAGAACATGCCATAATACTCACTTTGATTTCAAGTAGAGCCTGTTCGGGTACTGAAGAGCTATAAAGGTTGTGACAAGTTGGAAAAAGTCTTTACCATGGTCTGGTCAATTAAGGCTTATTTGTACACCTGAGACCTGACAACTGTATGGACAAAAATTGTTTGTGCTACTTTAAAAAGCATTACAAAGCACGAAAAAAGCTTTCCCTTGTCAATAATACTGCAATTGGACATGACTAGATTCTTCTTAAAGCATCCCAGGGTTAAGAGCAGGGACCTGTACACTGTGGAAGTTTTGAGATAAAAAGAGTTCTTGCTGACAAGATTTTCAAAGGGTTTCTGTCAGAGAACAATGAGGCTGTAATTATTGGTGCTATTATTGTAGCACAAGCTAAGAAGTTCTGCAGTCTGAGCAGATGTCCGAGTGCTACATTTGGAAAAGTTGCCATGAAACACCCGTGACATTAATGTGGTGTTAAACAATGTAACGTTATGCAACAATTAAACATCTGAACAATTATTTCCATGGAAAAATGTTGATTCTCCCATGTTTGTCTGTACATGCAGCAAAACTGGATGGTGTTATGAATTGACAAATAAATTTAATGTCAGTTGTATGAAGCGAGAGTAATTCTAAGGCAAAATGCTAATAGAAGAGAGAAACAGCTATTTTATATAGGCTCTGCTCCTAGAGATGTCCAAATGGGTATTTAAAAATCATCTCATAATCTTTACTGGGTGAAAAAATGCAGAAATTCTTCTCATAGCTTTTGGATAATTTGCACAGAGACTTTGTCTTCATACTTCTTTCATTTAAGTTTTATAGATGTGTTTTCTCCATGCCCTTCTTATAACTGACTTTCTAGACAGATGAAATGAAGTATGTTCGCCCTTGGTAACTAGAAAGAAGTATACCTGTGTTAAGTCTGCCTGGTTTGAAGGTGTCTGTTCTGGCCCTCTTCCTAGCACAATGCCTTAAGTCAATCATGCACTTTGTTTTTACATGTTCTTTATTTTCTCATTCAGTCCACAAGCAAAATATGACAACAGAATTGCAGATAGCAGTGAAATCCCAATCAGGAAGTTCTCCTTATTCTGAGCCTTCTTCCTACAGGTACATGAAGTAACTTCCTATAGTATTACCAACAATTAATAATTTGAACTGGGAAGGAAACAATTGCTGATGAGTTATTCCTTCCCAGAAAGGTCAAACTGAAATCAGCTGGAGACAAAATTTACATTACTTTGACCATGCTGTTTTCTACATTCTTAGGATGGTGAATATAGATTCCACTGGTCATAATTTCCCTTCTCCATATACTCTCTTTTGGAATGTGAAAAGACGAAGTCCAGTCCTAATTCTCAATAAAGCTGTAAGTGGCATGCTGGGATTTTCAAACGTCATAATTCATCTTTCTTCTTCAGGATGATTTTCCTTACAAGCTCTGTAACATAAGGCCTTATTTCTTCAACAGAGACAGTAGAGTCCCAGGCCTTTACTACTTTCCCATTGGGGTCCACCAGGTATTTCCAGAAGTTCCAGGTTGGTTCTTCTCCTGTGGAATCTAGGGGAAGGAGGGGTTAAAAAAGTGGAAACTTAGAAAAGCAAACCACGTTGGCTAATTCCTGACATTTGTTCATGTCAATTTGATGATGACCCTCTCAGAGGAAGAAGAAATGTAAAATTAAGAGGGTGTTGAGACTGAATAATGAGATTCATTTTCTGACAGACAGGGAACTTTAACTAGACAGTAGCACCCAGGAGACTAATGGAAACAGCCACGCTTGAGACAGACAGGCAGGCGAAAGCACTATAATCAGTCTTCAAGTGTGTGTGTGCACGTCTGTGTGTCAGTGCTATATAGATAAATCTGAAACAGTTGACCACTCATAGGAAAATGGAATTTGGCATAACAATGTAGCTGTATCAGGAGTTACTATTTGCTTATCCAGAATTTTTCCAGTATCATGTGCTTCAGAAGAATGTTTCAAGAAATACTACATGAAGAAATAACAAAGTAAATTGTTGCAAGGGGTTTCCTCTTAATCCTTATCTACTGTTTTTTTCCTCCATAAGCACATACTCATTTTACATGAGTTGCATTCTTATTCTTTACTATTCTGCTACATGACTAACAGAATGTTCAGGATTTTCAATCAGACCAGAAGCCTCATTGCACTAACAGCACAAATGTGTGGACCAACAAAGAAACAGAAGATTTGCAAGTTTCATGTGTCACGTCTGCAATAATAACCCTGCTGGGCAAAAAGAAACTGAAGGATGTGAAGGGGATTAACAGGAAGTTTGGCTAGAAGAAAGATCCAGTACACACACCTGGAAGGAGGTATGCTTGAGGTAGTCAAAAATACTACCAACACTCGTTTAAATGCAGTGGTATGTGGGAGAACACTGGTTCTGGAGAGAAGCAGCAGCGATATGGTCCTTGCAGAATGCAGCTCAGGTGATATGGTATCATACTGGGCTTTATTAAATATCATTGCTTCAGACATTTGACAATGAAGACATTTCCTTCACCCTGGATAAAGACTGACATTTTTGTTTTGCATTTAAATGGTATTTAGAGCATTCATACATGCAAAAAAAGTAGTGCCTTGATAGAGAATATTCTGCTTTACAGTGTAGTTTGTCAGCTGTCTGCTAAGAACCAGTGAAACCTCTTCAGGTCTCAGTGCCAGCTGTAATGCAAAATAGAACTGGAGGAACTCTACAGTATGGTTGTTCTGATGGTTGGCAAGGAAGGAGGAAGGGAGTATTCAAGGACATCTCTTACTGCCTGGTTTCACTGTGAAATTGTTGAGGTAAATTACGTAGGTGCTTTGCTTCCACTTATCCTACAGCTCAAGATGAACCTTATAAATCCAACCTGCAGCAGCTGTGTCATAGGAGAAGCACTTAGGAGACTGAAAAGTGGAAAAAGGAAGATCAGGTGTTGTATGCATACAGGAGAGTATTTCAAGACCTGTATTCCATGTAGAGGTTTATTAGACTAGCTTTTACAGGGCATCTGTTATCATAGTGTCCATCCCTGAGAACGTTAGACAAAGCTGTCAGGGGTGACGTGGAGAGAACTCCTGCCTTGTGCAGGAGAATGGACTACATGAGTGACCTCTTTGAGCCTGACAGTTCTGTGCTAAGCTTCTGTGAACACAGGCATAGGTACCTTTTTTCTGTCAGATGGTATTTTGTGTCACTACACAAATTCTACACTAGAGAAACGACCCTCCAATGTTCTTGATTACTCACCAATTAAATACTTGAAGGCAGGAATTGCACCGGCTCCACTGACTGTTGTTTTGCTGAACATAGGGAAGGAGGCACTGTAAGTCTTTCGTGCAAAACTCTCAATTTCTTTGTTGGTGTCTGGTTCTTGCTGCCCAAACTGATTGCACGGGAATGCCAGGACATTGAAATGATACGGGCCGAGGTCTCTCTGTAGCTGTTGTAAGGCCTTGTAGTGGCTATCTGTATACCCACACTCGCTTGCAACGTTGACAACTAGTGACACCTGAAGAACAAGAGAGATGAAAAGATGTGCTGCACATGCCAGTTTTTCAGCAGGGAGGTTGGAAATAAGAACATGTAGAGAACTGTGACTGAACATCTGTGTTTGGAACTACACTGAGTTCTGTTCACAACAGGAAGATTCAATATTTTTATGTATTCCCATTTGGCAACCATGAAGTTAATGAATAGACTGCTAAGCAATCGTAATACTGAGTTTACAGAGAATCTACGTTTCTCCATTCTGCCTTTTGCATAGTTTCTAGGCATATTTAAGAAAAGACTATGCAGCTAAGATATACCAAGTTCAATGAAAGAAACTTGCAAATAACGTATTTTGGGCAGTTTGTTTAACTGTTGTGAAGCATCTGTTCTGCAAGATCTCTGCTTGTGCAGAAATTAGTACTCATACAGAACTGGCTGATCCATTTATCGTTGCTGCTGTAGATGTCTTGACCTGGAAGTTAACAGAAGCAATTACAGGATTTTGGCTTAGTTTGTGCAGTATGGATTGTGAGATTTCCCACCATTTCTAGAGTAAATCTACTCAGTTGCAACAAAATGTCAACAGGTTTTGCATAAAGGTTTACTGCCTCAATTGGAGATTCCAAGAAGCGAAGACTGTGCCCACTACCCTTTGAAGTCATCTTTGACATGTGCATTGTGTCACTCAGATATTACCACCAGGTATGTATCTGCCTGTGCACATCCAGCAGAGAGGAAGATACGAAACACAGGAGAGCACTACCGGAAAAGAGAGGTGTGTGTAAGGAGAATACAGGGTGGAACAGATTCCAACAAGAATTTGGTGGGGAAATGAAGGGAGCTGACACATATTCACAGTTTCTCAAGACCTTGAAGAGCTTTCCGTTGGTTTTTGAGATATTTTATCCTATAACTCCTAGAACCTATTTTTAGACTTACAGTTTTTATTATTCCTACAAATTTCGTGTGAGTTGCCTCTCATTCTACATAAATTGAGTCCATTCTAATGTTGTCTTGTGCATGCCACGTCTTTTAGATACACTATGATTTTATGAATAAAATAGCATTATGCACTGTATAGTGATGTTTCTTTTACATATAACCACAATCAATTCCTTTTTTTAGACCAATATGTGAGAGTCATAAGGCAATATAAATATTATAATACTAAAAAGGTTTCTACTCACCTGCATTAATATTGGGCATAGTGCAGAAGAAAAGCATTGTGATTTGGGAACCAGAATTCTACCAGGTTTACACTGAATCTGCTGTGTTTCTACGGATTATACATCAGCCCAGAAGCTGGTCCTTCATTCTCAAATTGCAAAACAAGTTTTAATTCAATCAAAGTAGCCAACACATTCCCCAGTGCCAGCAGACAACAGTAGCCATTTGCATTGGATCTTTCTACAAGAGTTTGGGAGTGTCATAGAAGCTGGCACGTTCTTTTTATTATTGTCAGTGTGAGACAGCGGTGTTGAAGGGCCCAGTGCTACAAGAGGAAAGCCTGAAGCTTGGACACACTAATTGACCTTATCAAATTGCCCAGCAAGTAACTGCAGGGAAATCAGACAGCGAGTAAGTGCAGGGCAAGAAAAGTGAAAAATCTTGACTCCAAGTCACAGACTCTTGTGGCTTTGCTCAATTTAAGCTGTGGATTCTTACGTTACTATTGTTCCATGTTCCTGTGTGTCAGTTTTCATGCAAAATACAAAAGTATATAGGGAATAAGAATAGAGTGATTCAAATAAACTGTATGGAAAATAAATTACCACGTCTCTTTTGTTTTTAAAGCCAGAAAACAAACTGGCATATAAAAGCCCATAATTTGGGTAAGGTATAAGATCATAAAATGAAATCCCTTGAAGCAGCAGGAGTAAAGAAAAAGCTAAGGAGATGTTGGTGTTGAGCATTTCTTACATTAAATGTTAACACTTTCTTTGTGTATTTTGTACCTTGTATAGATATATGGCTATATTGAAAGTGGTTTCAGAGTGGCACGGTTTTCCCTGGAAGCCAGGTAATCTTATAAAGCACAAGCTGATGTAATCTTCCTTATGGTCAGCAGCATACAATCTAAGCAGTCCCTGTACACTTGCATATGAAATATGATCTGGAGCCATCTAGCTAACTACCAAAGCATCACAGTCCTTCAGACAACATTTATAAGCTTTACCTGAAATTTTAAATTCAGTCTCCTAAAATATCCAAAGACAGGCATATAATTAGGGTTTGGGTTTTTTTCAGAGAAGTAATTCTATGATGCAAACCGTCAGCATTTCAAATAGAACTTACATATTGGACATAAAAAATAACTATTGGCAGTTCTGTTCATTTCAAATAATCTGCATAGTGGTAACTGTAGTTTAGCATGATTGAGGTAAAAATAGATTGTACCACTGACTTGAAGTCACATGTAGTTCTTTCAGATGAAATTCTAGAGGCTTTTTGAAGTACAGTTTAAGACTCAGCATTCTCATGATGCAGAACTATTCATATACCTTGCTGTATTCACATCTCAGGGTACTTCATCCCAAATACAATAGCAACGTAAGAATTTATCATTGGAAGTCTGGGGGAAATAAGGTTATGTAGGTTATTATGTTCATACTATAACAGATAGGAAGCGTGACTTGCCAATGAAAACAAGCAAGCTTTTATAGCTGCTGTCTGATTTTGAAGTTAGGAGGGCTTGAAAGAATTCACTCAAAAAGAAACAATTTTCATTTACAGCTGTTTAAAACCAGTGATTACTTGGCATGGTGGTGAAAGGCATGAGAGCTCACACTGCCAGTGGTGCAAACTTCCAAACGTTCTCCCACGAAATAGGAAGAAATTACCCGCATTTCCTAGAATGGCAGGCACGTTGTGCTGCTTTTTCTTTTCCTTAGAAAAATGCATTCTGTTACTGAACTCTGTAAGTTAATAGTGCAAACCTCTTAAAAATGTAAGTACCAAATATAATACAAAACTTTCAGAATTAATTAGCATTTCATAAGGAATGTTTAAAATGGTTGTTTAAAAATCTTTACCAAGTTATCGTTCAAGTGTCTGGTATCAGAAGCGATGAAATGTGGTGATTTCTCTTTTTGTTTATATTCTTAACAAATAACAGTCACTCTTCGTGTTCTCTTACAGAGGCTGTTACTTTGACTTCTTACTATTAACGATTGAAGTTCCCTGTGCCTCTTGCCTGACTTTAGGCTGTGAGAGTGCAAGTCAAGCACACCACCTAGTGTGCAGTGCAAACAATTCAGCCTGGACCTTACCAAAATGATTTCATTGAAGCTGAATTCTGTATTAGCTGTTGTCCGACTTCTTCATACTATCCATTCCTTCCCTTTGCTTAGAAAACCCATGCATCCGAGTAGACAACTCATTTATTTAACACTGCAAAAATAGTTCAAGTGTACCTCCTTGAGGAAAGGATCTCTGGACAGATTTGTGAATCTGCTGTAGCTTCAAGTAACCCTTTGTGGATCTTGTAGCACAGACAGTAGATACTTCGGGTTTTAGACCTGGAGATTCTTAACTGGCTCCATCTGATTGATGGAAGAACCAGCCACAAGCACCAGGTTACTCCAGCTCGGAGTTGTTACCTTCATGGAAAGAAACAGCAATACTTTGTAGAGTAATGAAGTAGCTATACTCTCTGTTTATACACATTTAGTATTACTACATACTCACATTGCAGACAGCTGTGATGCAAAGTGCCTAGCATTACTATCAATAGTAAAACAATACTTTTCATTGTAACAGTGCCTAATGCTTTTACATTAATATAGTACCTTTGGTTCAAGATCTACACCTCAGCACGCTGTACTTAAATGTGTGGTAGGTAGATAGGGAGGCAGGCAGTATGTACTATTATATCTAGGTAGGTATAAGCATAGCAGGGAATAGTTGATGCTTGGGAGTTCCGACTCTCAAAGAGATACTATTTTTGGGAAAAATACTACCTCTTAAAGCGTATCTGATAGAGACCATAAGATGTAATAGAAGCTTTCTTGAATTATATGGGTGGATAGATCAGACAGAATCATGAAATCACAGAATTATAGAATGGTTTGGGTTGGAGGGACCTTAAAGCTCATCCAGTTCCAACCCCCTGCCATGGGCAGGGACACCTTCCACTAGAGCAGGTTGCTCCAAGCCCCTGTGTCCAACGTGGCCTTGAACACTGCCAGGGATGGGGCAGCCACAGCTTCTCTGGGCACCCTGTGCCAGCGCCTCAGCACCCTCACAGGGAAGAACTTCTGCCTAATATCTAATCTAAATCTCCTCTACGTCAGTTTAAAGCCATTCCCCCTTGTCCTATCACTACACACCTTTGTAAAATGTCTCTCTCCAGCTTTGTTATTGGCCCCTTTAGATACTAGAAGCTGCTCTAAGGTCTCCCTGGAGCCTTCTCTAGGTTAAACAAGCCCAGTACTCTCAGCCTGTCTTCTTATGGAAGAAAACTAACTTTATTTGGATCCTGTTGATTCTCTTCCAACAATGCATCACTGCCCTTCATTTTTAATGTAGATGGGTCGACATCAGTATGGTAGCCTGGAATAATCACAGAAGGATGACCTTTATGCACAGCAGAGTAAAACACACAGCTTTTTGATCTATTTTGCTTTCAGTTGTAATAGTCTTCCCTTTCTTTGCTTTCAGGCAATATGACACCTGATTTTGTAGCGTGTATGCCAAATTAACGGCATTCTGGCTATATAATTTCTTATGCCTCCATAGAAAGGTGTACTCCCTATCATATTTTTGGTATTTTCATTAAAGTGGAGGATAGGTTACATCTGTACACATTTCTTTCAGGCAAAAAAATGAATCTATTCCCTGCTTTTTTCATTCTGTTATTTCAGAATTGTTAGTACGTTTCTTATTTACTCTGTAACAGAGAGTGCTTGTGATTTATATCGAGATGCACTTGAATAGAAATTGAATTAATATCAGTCTTATTTTTTTCTTACTAAGAAAAATTGTTTCAATTACCTAAATGCACAATAATTTATATTAAGGTATTGAAGAAAGATGCTGCAGGTCATGAATTGCACTGGTTGTTTAGACTTAGCATAGCTCCTGTTTTTAGAATTAGAAGTCTTTATTATTTTCTTTAATACGCTGGATGTTTTCAATGCCCAGTTAGTTTCTTGACTACCAATGAAGTAGTTATTTAACTAAATCAGTTGATGGACTGAATTGAATCAAATGTCTCCTCTACATCTGCCAGAAAGCTTAAGGATGTTCAAAGGTGGTTTAGCAATTAGCAGACTATTGTTCCAGGGGCTGACTAGTGACTCACTTTCTTTATAATGCCAGCAGCACACGTAGCACTTACATACTACTTGCTTTCTTTAAGTAGCTTTAAAATATTATGATAAAGTTACATCTTAACATTACCTATTTAGCTGCATATTTAAGCAGGGTCATTTTAAGAAATAAATGTGAGCTTTAATTAACTTCTGTCTACCTCAATACTGAGTTCTGACAACATAGAGATGTTTTATTGCTAGAATATTCTTTAAAATTGTGCACATGTTATCAAACAGCATCTACCTCAACGTTAACAACCTCTCTGAATCCAAATCTTTTTGTCCCATACAGAAGCCGGTCATCAGGTTTTTGGATAAACTATTCCATATGGCCTAGCAGAGATCAAGGAGTAACATGCACCGACGGTGTCACCTTTGCCAAGGTACAGCTCTACAGCTCTCCCTTTTGAAGCCAGTCACTCCTTGAGGATGGCCTGGTACCATAGCACCATTGGAGATACAGATACTCTCCACTAACCTGGTGTGTCCATGAGATTCCAGATCAGCTGGAATTCCCCCTTTTTTCCATGTGTATTCTGGCCCTGAGGTAAAGAAGCTACAGGTGGTATGTGCTTATTCAGACATGTTTGCAGATGACCTGCAGACAAAATATGCCCCAGTAACAGGATTTATTGACAGAACCTTTGGAAAAAAATAAAAAAAAAAAGGCAAATATTGCTTAATGTTTTTTCCAATGTAGATATTTGAGTGGGCATGGGACCAATTCTGCTCTGAATTGTGAAGGAGGAAGAAATTCCTGAAAGGGAAGGAGGATTTAAGCCAAGTAAGGTTCATACCTCTCATTTGGTCCAAATCTACCAGTATCCCTTTATACTGAGCTCAGGAAAGTGTCCCATCTCCTCCCATATACCTTGTCTGCCTTCCTGCCAATGTTTTAGTGACTTGCTGCTGTGGATTAGTGAGCTCAGACACCTCACTGAAGTCCCTGAGGAGGGAGAAAAGGAAGGTGGAAACACCAAGCTGGAGAATAAGGGTGAAAGTGAGCAGTGGTGCCTGCCTTTCTGGGCAGCAGCCAAGCTGTTGGACTGCCTGGCTGCATCACTGAAGATGTGTCACTTGAGTGCTGAGGGTGGCAGCTGTGGGCTTGATGTTGATTTTAGCTTCTGTAATTTGTGAATGTGGCTGTAAGAGCTTATAGCATTATGTCCCCTGTGTGCCAAGTTCCCTTTTCACTCGTCCATTGGTACTGGTCAAACCACTAAAAATGAAAAATCACATCAAGTTACATTCAAGGGAACTGTTCTTAAAACGGGAAGGAAAACTCTGCTTAGAAATCCTTAATGTAAATAAAATCTAAACGACATCATGAAGGTATGTACGTATCTACACACCCTTCTCCATATTGCTCTGGCACACTAAAAAGTGACAAGGGCAACAGCATTGTGTTGCTACAATTTCATTATATACTGATACTAAAATAGTTATGTCGCCAATTTTTTACTATGGTGAAATCTGTTAACTCCATTAGCCACTGATTAAATCACTTTTTCCATTTAGAACATTAAAAAGAACTGGGATTTAGGTAAAAATAATTTCCTAGAAGTCATGCAGTTAAAAGGCAGAAAAAGAATCATAGGACCAACGAGTTTGGAAAAGCCCTTTAAGATCAAGTCCAACCTTGAAGTAAGCTCCAGACATAAGTTATACAAAGGTACAAACTTCCCGAGATGCAAATTTAACAGCCACAAGGCAGTGCAATTCATGGTGCTGGATGGAAGGCAGGGAAGGCAGGCAGGCATTCCCTGCCTGCCACGTCTACAGCAGCCCGCAGCGGGAGAAGACGCGAACACACACACACAAACACACAGACAGAGGTAAAGACCGCAAACGTTTTATTTAAAGAGCGCAGTGGAGCTGTATCAGCAGCAGCATGCAGGCAACGCTCCAGATCGGTTAGAGAGGAGCCGTGAACGCCAATCTGCCTGCATGTACGCACCGAGTTAATGTACAACCTCTCCACCCCCACTTGGCTGCTGCAGACATGCAAGGACTGGCTGTTAGTGAGTCCGGGCGAGAGGCGCCCATCCCCGTGCGGACTTACCGAGCCCCTGTATTTCTCCAGAGAGACTAGTTTGCCCCTGATGTTTACAACTTTGAAAGTGTAAAAATCAGTCTCTTTCTGCTGCGTAGCGGAAAAGGCTAAGAGCAGCAGCGCTGCAATTGCAAGGAGCATGGCTACAGGGATGAGGAGAACTTTGGGGAAGGAAGAGGGAGGCTTGTGCTCCACACTGCCCTCAGGATCTAGCATGCTGCACGGCCGTGCTGCAGGCACTTGCCACGATAGGAAAGCGCTGCCGCAAAGAAAGGACTGCTGCAAACGGAGCTTTTGCAACAGTCTGGCTACTGCAGAGGCTTCGGAGCTCTGTCCACAGCTCGGAGGATGTACCCATGGGGTATTGGAATGCTCTAAAATGGAGTATTTCATGGTAGTGGTGGTGGTGGTGTGTTAAGTAATGGGTACACGACAAATTAAAGTGCTTGTTGGCTTGAGAACAGTAATACCGTATGTGTTTGTGGGGTACCAGATCAGAGATCTGCTTTCACCATGTCCTAGTAAAATAAGGCATAGTTAATTGTGATCTTTGATAGATTTGTAAGTGCCCTTTTTTTAGTACACCAGCTACAGCATCTAGTAACTATGGTGTAATGGCAAAGGATACCAGTGGCTTGGTTGCTAGTGGTTACAGATGCAAGTACTCTGAAGGAGAGTTGCAGCATGCAGTCAGCAAAAACAGAATTACAAACATAGAATCACAGAATGTAGAATGGTTTAGGTCAGAAAGGGCCTTAAAGCTCCTCCAGTTCCAACCCCCTGCCACGGGCAGGGACACCTTCCACTAGAGCAGGTTGCTCCAAGCCCCTGTGTCCAACCTGGCCTTGAACACTGCCAGGGATGGGGCACATACTGTGCATGGTATCACATGAAATGGAGAACCACTAGCCAGACCTTCAGGAGATTGGTCTCTGCATGCACCTGGTTGGCATGAAATGAGTGGCCAGACAACTGGTTTTCAGTGTGATCTGGGAGAAACCACATTACCAAAAGGTTTTTAAGCAAGAAAGAGGCATTAAACGTGACAAACTGAATTTGGTACCCAAGCTTTCAGCTGCACAGAGCCAAACCACTGCTTCAGTTGCACTGATGCCATTCTTGGCTTGTCTGCAAGAAAAAAATAGCCACTTGTACACTTTGCTGCTATGTCTGCTGGGAGAAAAGGATTTGTATATTTCAAGTAACAACAATAGAAAGCATTTTATGGTCATCGATTTCTTTTTGGACTGAGAAACTGGTTCTCCATGCTGATGATTCTGGTAATTCTTGGCAAAGAAAAGCACAGTGTAGTGAACTACAGAAAACAATTAAGTAGCACATCCCAGGCATATTGGAAATCTATCTTCTGAAAAGCAAATTATGTATTTTAATCTCACTTTGTAATTTTTACATTTTTTTTAACTGAGGTTTGGTAGGTCTCTGATATCTTTATTAGATTTGGTTAGGTAATTCACACGTAAGTGGCATTTCTGTAAGGGAAGAAGCCATGTATAACTACTTGAAAAATTTAATTACAGTTTTTAAACACTTCAGCTATTTCATGGGTTTATGTATTTCAGGTTAAGTAGACATCCAACATCAAGAAATAATGCAATAATACTACAAAGATACATAGATGGAAAATGTACCATGCTGTCTATGGGGAAGATACACTGTGCTAAGAATGTGAAGTTCTCACCTTCACAGGTAAGTGCTATCTTTCTGTATATTTGGCATACTTTCCTGGCTGTAGTATTGACCAAAAACCTTTCATTTAGCTGATGGTCAGGTATGATTTCTTCATTTTATAAATAAATTATCTAAGAAGCTTCTTCAGACACAGCTAGAGACAGAGAATAGGGCTTTAATACAGTATACACATTTAAATATATTCTGAAAACCTAGTAAATCCTAACAATTAGAAAAAATCATCCTAATGATGAAAATAATTCAACATAAGCTTCCCCCCCCACACCAATTTAGAAAGAAATCTACAATATACTTCTACCTTTTTTGAGGCATAATGTTATAGTAGTTTGGGTATGGGACTAAAAACAAGGTATCATGCTGCAACAGGAGACAAGCAAGGTTTTGGTCTGGAAAAGAGACTTTCTAAAATCTGCTTTGTGATGTTTGTCTCTGATTTCTAGACTTCATGGCTTTCAGAATTATGTTGTCTTCTACAAGCTGAGCCCCAGATCTGAAAGGTTTTGGTCACTGGCACTGAGGTGGGAATTCTTTAAATAATGGCCAGCTGGCAGTAGAATCCAGCTTCCTCTTTTACTGCCATGTGTCTACACTGCTCCCTGCAATAGAACATTCTTTAACATCAGCAAAGAGGGAAGACTGTTCCTTAATACACAGAGACTATGTCAAAGGCTGTTGGCTTTTTAATGACTTGAGTTTTCAGAGCCAACTGCACTAACATTTCATATTAAGGTCTATCCAACTATTTAAATCTGATATATTCCAATGAACTTCAGCTTGCAGGAAAAATGCCAGTCAGGTTTGCAAACTGGTGTGTGTTTGCTCACTAGCATGTCTAAATGTTGATCTAGGAGGACTGTACCCAGTAGCAAGCCTAACTTACTCTTGAAATTTCCTCTTTGGCCTACTAAACGTAATAAAAATCTCTGTCAAATAGGACTGGACAGAAACCACCAACCAGCTAACCTCAGCTGTCCCCAAATGCCGCTGCAATTGCTGTCACTGCTGACCCAGACTGGACCAGCCCGTGTTCTTGAAGGTGGAAGCTCCACACTACATCCATTACAATGCCTGGAGCTATCCAATCCTGATCTGTAAAACATGAATTTCAAGTGAGCCACGAAAAAGCAGATTAGCTCTAAGGGTCACACTGACTTCATGATACATTCAGAATTAAGTCTTGCCAGTACTTACTGAATCCAGTATTACAGATTTTGCAACTTTTGTTTACCTACAGAGACTCTGAGGTGGTGTTTCCAGCACTACTATTCTCATTATTGTTAATTCTTTCCTTTGAACCCCTTTAGGATTTCCACATCAATCTTTTGCATGCCTTGTTTTTCTGGAAAGGCCTCCTTATCCCGGGCTAGTGAGTGCCAACAACATGACATCTCACTGCCAAGAAGGGGTACTGTCCTGGATCACAGAGGGATTTGCCTTACACAAGCACTTGCCAATTCCTTTAGGTCACTCTCCTGCACTGCCAAGAGCCAGGCGGGCCAGCTCTGTCTCCCCCGAGACCTGCACAGCTGCCA